TTAAATGGCACCTAAAGATCAAGTGTTATAAGTACAGAAAGAGAGAAACCAAGACAGACATTTCCAGAGGGACAGATTCTGTCCTGACAAGTTCTCTCAACTATATCATAACAAATATTTAGAAGAACAGAATCAAACAGTATTTGCTTTGGAACCTTTCACCCTAAAGTTTAGTCATAACAAGTGGCATGTTTCTAATGGGGGGAGGGAAGCATTGGTTAATGCAACAATGCAGGCATAAACCTGGATATGTAAATCAACTACTCCCCTGAAGAGGAGGCAACTACAGGCATGATACTGAAAAAAAAACACCAAATCATACTTATGCTGGATGCCTCACCCCCTGGAATGTGTTTCAACTCCTCCTTCCTCAACACAGCACCAGAGGGGTTGGGCCTTCTGCATTAGGGAGGTCAAGAAATCCCACTAACTCTGAAATGGACAAGCGGGCCAATTCTTTTCTGCAGTTATTTCGTGTAATACAATATAAGTGCTGAACAGATCTATTTCGCCACAGTCCCAAATCAAGGAGACTAGTCACCGCACACCTGGTCTGCCCGTGACCACGTCTGCCATGCACTCGCCTTTGCTTGAGGTGGCTTGATGGAAGAGCATCTAGGGGTAAGAGCCTAATACTTTGTCTGCATGAACTAATAAATTCAGAGATAAAGGTTTCCCCAATAAAATTAACACTACCCACTAGCACATCTCTTAAAATAAGGTCTTTTCTCACATTAACACACTATGCTGGGAAATGCAGCTTTGTTGGAGAAACAATTATTAATGGAAAGGGGCCAATCTCTCTCCTACACACACTTCCAGGTTAAGTCCACTGGCTATAAGTCTGGTAGGTCAGTGTGCACATCAGAGTGCAAACACAATATTTCCTGATCATACTGGCCAAGTTGGGCCTTGGCTCTCAGATCTGATATACAGTCAGGAGATAGGGTGTTCCCCTTCCTTCCTCATACAGTCTTACTCAGCCATACCACCAATCATGACTTGGGGGGGAAAAACCACACCTGTAAGGCAGTCTCCATAAAGGACTTTCTTCTGCCCTGGGTAAATCTTCTAGAGTAGCTCTGTTTGCACTGACATGTAGCTTCTCATTACCAGAGAGATTAAGACAATCAAATATAAACTGAAGGAAACTTGTATTTGAATTGAAGTGGCAGAATCAGATTTGAAGTCCGAGTGGATTATCCTCTGGCCAACTGGTTCCACAGGACTTGATTTTTTTTTTTTTTTTTTAATCTAGAGGTAAGTATACTGTATGGTCAAAAAGAGTTCACTAAAGGGGAGCCTTCCTCATATCCCCCCACTTCTCCCCCCAAAAATCCACTTTACCATTCTTAGGGGGCAAAACGAGGCTGAAAACTTTTAATCCAGCCTGGGCTAGAGCTGAATTTGTCCAATACACATGGTACCCCAGATCTCTTGATCAGATTGCCGATAAAAAGAGGGCAGGCTCTCGCAACAGACAGTATGAGAGATTTGCAGATGAGTCATCTTGCCTCCATATTCACAGCTGTCAATGATGCTGCAGAACTGGGGCACCCCTATCATTCTAAACTGGAAATCTGTCCCTCTTTTCCTCCACCCAACCTGCAGATCTGCCATGAGATTTAACCAAAATGTTGTGGAAACTAGACCTGAGATGCCGCTTTACTCAGAGCTACAGCCTCTTCTAATTAACCCTGAAAAAATTATTTGTTGAGCAACTTCCTGATTTTGGAGCTTACGCACAGTAATTAGGTAACAGGACTACACATCGGGGATTTCACTTCTGCTTGCTAGTTTAGACAAGAACTTTAGCGTTTCACATGAACCAAGTCCGAAATTCCCAGTGGGCATAAAAGTCCCCATCATTCACACCCTGGTGGTAAGTCATGGCAGAGAAACCAAGGACTGGATGGGCCATTAAGACAGATTGAACCTCACATTTGTAGATGTTGCTCTTCCAGGTGGGGGAATCAGACACGTTGGTGAGACTGTTCTATCAAAGCCCAGCCTGGCCTCACGTTTGTGGAGAACTTGGAGGCCTCCAGAGTTTTTAACCTGGTATCTTTCACAAGCACTAAATTCCCCCAAACCAAAAAACCTTAAGAAATGTAAAGAAATTAATTTTAGCAAGCTGGCATCAGATTAAATTATAAAGTAAAGACACTTCTCCCACTTAAGGGGACCAACATACCTCATTGCCACATTGCTTCCATCAATAACAATGGGTTTTAAGTTATTGCCTTCCTTCTCCTCCAACGGTGGCACAGGTGTAGGGGTTTTGTTGGTAAGTCCCCCACGAGGTACCAATGGGGCTTCTACGGCCTCCTGTGGCGGGTCGGTAGTCTCTCTGTCAGCAGCTGCAGCACCATGCTTCACAAGCTCCCCAAGGACCGTATTGGTGTCAGCATTTAAGCCCAGTTTTTGGAGGACGATATAGATCTCTTCTGATGAGTAGCCCAGTTTGCGGAAGAAGTCCACTTTCATTTGCATCTCAGCACTGTCCATGAGGTCCTGCTCCGAAATCCTGAGCCTTTCCTGTGCTGCCCGGGGTACCACATCCACCATGCTGAGCGGCTCACACTCTGTTGGGTTCTGGCCCTTGCCAGGAAGCACACAGTTCAAGTTGAGGTGACCGTTTTCCGATGTATCTCTGGAGCTCATCCTTTTGTCAATCTGAGTAACTTAATGTTTGTCAACTGGAAGCATCTCACTCCAGCTGGGAAAACCCAGAGCAGAAGGAATACTGTCCAAGTTCATAATTTTCCTCGGGCAAGTTCTGTTTTTCATTCACACCCAGTATCTGTGAATCAATATAGTGATCGTTAACTCCTAAAGACTTGATCTAAAAGAAAGGAAATGCAGGAACTGTTTTCACATTAACAGTCTTCAAATTCTTCTCTGTGGCTCAGATATTCAAGAACTCTGGAAATCCTTTTATTGATACTTCATGTTTACGTTTCCAAGGCACATCACAAGAATTGAGAAATCTTTAGAAATCCCATCCCCTAAACCTTGTTAACGTGCAGATTGTTTGCACTCAATTTAATTCAGTGTTTGTCAAAATAGGGTATCACCTTCCTATAGCACATCAGATGCACTTGTTAAAATGGTCACGTTTCTCACGGCTTTTGTAATAAGGATCCTGGGATGTGCAACCTCACTCTTAGGACATAAATAGCACTTTTCACCTTCAAAGTGCCCTACAAATGTTAACTGATTAAGCCCCACAAACCTCCCTGTGAGGCAGGGTCAGTTATTAATCCTTGTACAGATGGGAAAACTGAGACTAAGGCTAAGCCGCTTGTGCAGAGTCATGGAGTGAGAGGGTCAATGACCGATATGGAATTGGGATGCAGATTCCTGGTCCTGTGCTCAGACCATGAACTGCCTTGTCTGTATTCCACCCTTCAAATGGGGGGCACACCGACAGCCCCTTGGCTACCAGGACGTGAGCTAAAACGTAGCCTATGAGTAACAGAGTAGCAGGATAGAGCACCTGTGCGCAACTGTGGCCTCAAGCTTTTGTAAAAAGATTTCATTTCCACCTAGGGTGACCAGATGTCCCGATTTTATAGGGACAGTCCCGATTTTGGGGTCTTTTTCTTTCTATAGGCTCCTATTACCCCTCACCGCCTGTCCCGATTTTTCACATTTGCTGTCTGGTCCACCCTATTTCCACCTACTCTCAGAGTCTTGTTTCAGGTCTGTGCATTCCTACTTCACAGACAGAAATGCAGGAAACAAACACAGGGTACACCCCGATCGCCTTCCCGGCGTCGAACAGAAACCCCATGGTGCTGCCCTTCGCCCGGCCCGGCCAGGCCAGCGAACAGGGCACTGGCCCAGGAAACCTGGGTTTTATTCCCCCTCTGCCAGGGACCTGGTGTGACCTTGGGCAAGTCACTTCCCCTCCAGCCTGTGCTGCGCCTCGCACCCCGGCTCTGGATGTCGGCGGCGACCGCTGCAGAGGCCGGGACGGGGACGGGGTTTGTAGAGGGGCTCGCACCAGGGGGGCCCTGATCACATGTGGGGCTAGGGGGACAAGTCCTAAAACAGAGACGCCCCCAAGCGCGGCAGCGAACGGGGGGGAAGGGGGGGTAGCCCCCTGCTCTGGCCCCCTTACCTGCCGCGAATGGGGACCTGCCCCCCCCGGCCAGCCGCGAATATGGGGGGGCCAAGCCCCGGCTGTACCCCCCGGGGCCACCCGCCGCTTGGGGGCCCGCGGCCCAGCCCCTGGGCCGGCCCGACTCACCGGCCTGTGCGCGGCGCGCCGCGGAGGGTCCATGGGCGGCGGGGCCGGGCGCGCTGGGCCGGGGCCGCCGCTTTATACCTGGGCCGGGCCCGGCAGGTGGCAACGCGGAAGCGGGGCGGGGAGGAGCCGCCGCCATTTCCTCATCCGCCGCGCCCGGCCTCGCAGGGCCCGCCCCGCGCCCGGCCGCCCTCCCCCTGGGCCGGGAGCCGCCAGCGCCGGCGGGTTCGGGCAGGCCCCGGGGCGAGGAGCCCCCGGTCCTCACTCGGGGGCGGGGTGCAGGAGCCCCCCCTTCCCCCAGACACGGGGGGGACACCGTGGGGTGGGGTGCAGGAGCCCCCCTTCCCCCACACACAGGGGGGACACCTTGGGGTGGGGTGCAGGAGCCCCCCTTCCCCCAGACACGGGGGGGACACCGTGGGGTGGGGTGCAGGAGCCCCCTTCCCCCAGACACAGGGGGGACACTGTGGGGTGGGGTGCAGGAGCCCCCCTTCCCCCCCACACAGGGGGGACACCTTGGGGTGGGGTGCAGGAGCCCCCCTTCCCCCAGACACAGGGGGGCAGGGTACATGACACCCCTTCCCCAGACACATTGAAATGGGGTGGGGGTGCAGGGACCCGCTTACCCCACACACTGGGGCAGGCTAAGGGGCTCCTCTCCGCTCCTCCCCTTGTGTTTTAGGGCTGAGCTGTGACCAGCAGCCAGGTGCTGGGTCTCCCCAAAGTGCCCCTCCATGGGCCGCGAGGGGCAGAGGTGCTGGAACTAGGGGGGCTCCTGCACCCCCCGGTGTGAAGTGGTTTCCAGCATACACAGGGTTCACAGTTTGGTTCAATGGCACTCAGCCCCCCACTATACAAATTGTCCCAGCCCCCCTGGCGAGGGGGGAATCCTGCTAACCCCACAGCCTTGGCCCAGTCACTCACTGGCTGGCTCCGTTCTCCCCAGAATGGATCATGGCTCCTTGTACTGACGGCTGCTGTGGTTTGATTTATTTCTCTCCCCTATTTGGGGTGTATCTTAAAACCCCTGCCCCAGGGAGATGTGCACCTGAGAGCCCCATTTACATGGGCAAGGGATGTTTCTAGCTCTCTCGATTGCAGAGAAGAGCATGGAAACGTGACCCACGTGCACCTCAAAGGCTCTGACACCAGCAGGCCAAGTAACAGGAGAACCCCCCAGCATTAGTACTTTTGAAAGTCTCAGGAGTTTAGGTGAGTCTCATAATTTTTGAATACTTGGAGTTGGTAACACAGAAAATCTCAGGAACTAAAGTGAGTGAGAGCTGTGGGGCTCCAGGCCTTGCAAAGGCAGCCGACGACATCAGGTGCCTCACTTTAGGTTGCCACATTTGCGGGAGGGGGCAGGGAGCAGCATTTTCAAATCAGACAGCTGGATCTTCCTGGTGCTATGTGATCTTCCACAGGTATTTTTCCAGCAACCTGTGCAGATTGAAATCCTAAAGCTACATGGACCCATCGGTTGCTTTGGCATGTTTTCTTCTGCCACTCCTACATTAGACTTCCTTTTGCTCCATCACAAATTCCTTGTTCTTCATCTATAGTTTAGTGATCATTACTTCAGGGTATTTGAGTTTCTCAGCCCATTTTTTAGGTGGTGGTGTGTCCACATCTGAGATAGCTCAAGTGCTTTACATTTCTCTGCTGCCTCTCCTTTCCAGCGCATTTTTCTACATTTTTGTGTGGTTGCTGTGTTCTTACTCTCAGACACTTGAGTCTCTTCAAAGTTTTCACGTTTACATAATATGGCACAGGTTCTGGAAGCCACTGACTACAATTTACCCTGCTGAGCTGGTGCTATTACTTCTATAGAGTATGATGCAGCCAGCTAAGGAAAACTACAGTTATGACAGAAGTGTTTTAGACATGTCCAAGACCAAATGGTTCAGTTCCACAAGAAGTTCATTTAGAAATCACAGCAAATGTGAGAAAGGAGGCAATTCCATGTCCTATATCCATCCTTGATAGTTCATGAAATTCCATTTTACTGATAATAAAAAGCCAATGCTTTGCAAAATAAGTGCACAATGTTCTTTAGATTTGTTTGTTGCATTTTAAAACTTGCATTAGTAATTAATTTATTTTTAGATTTTTGATATGTGCTATACAAGTATGTGATTTTTGGAGGGTGGAAAGAAGGGAGTATGAAATATTGTTTAAGAAACAGAGTCAGTATCATATTTGCTTGATATTTTCCCCTTTCATTGCCTTGGTCTCTTTCCAGTACCTGGCAAAGGTACTTATTTGTAGAATAATCACAGTTGATGAAGAAACCGGTCTTTTTCTTAAAGCACCTGGTTTTTATGCAAATCATTTTACAATAAGGAAGATTTGACTCAACAACAAGTGTACTCATTAGCCAGAGTAACTCTTCTTCCTGGTGTCCTTTAAGGACAGCCTTTGCTCTAGATCAGGAGTTGGCAACCTTTCAGAAGTGCTGTGCCGAGTCTTCATTTATTCACTCTAATTTAAGGTTTCGCATGCCAGTAATACATTTTAACGTTTTTAGAAAGTCTCTTTCTATAAATCTATAATATATAACAAAACTGTTGTTGTATGTAAAGTAAATAAGGTTTTTAAAATGTTTAAGAAGCTTCATTTAAAATTAAATTAAAATGCAGAGCCCCCCGGACTGGTGGCCAGGACCCGGGCAGTGTGAGTGCCACTGAAAATCAGCTTGATTGCCATAGGTTGCCTACCCCTGCTCTAGATTTTGTTGTCTGGATGCCGTTACTGTTAAACTGGATGCTTCTGTATTGTTAGGTGGGGCTAGAAACAGCAAAATTCGGTAGGGATGTGTAGCCAATGATTTTAGTACCTACGGTGGTATAAAACCACATTACAAAATTCCCTTTAAATAAAATAAAAGGCCACAGCTGAGAAAACCCTTTTGTCTGGTAATTCTCAGACATGTGGCCAGTTGGTAACATTCTGAGTTTAATAATTTAGAGATAAATTTTAAGAAGAGCTGCAGGCCTGGCCATTTCCCCTCCCTGGTGCAAGTTGCAAATTAGAGCACGTATTATTAGTTTATCAAAGTACCCAAAAGTTTGCTAGGCACCTCCCAAAATAAAGAGGACATGCCTTTTTCCTGGCCTTCTTTATGTATAATAAAGATGAAAAAACATTAAAGTCAATTTTTTCCCCTCTGTGTAGGTAAACGTTAGCGCTTATTGCCTAGAACTGGGCCCTGCAGCAGCTGGTTCAGACTGTACCCTAAGGAAACTGGCCAAACAGCACCCCCTGCTGGCAAGCAGAGGGAAGAACAGGCTGAGAGTGCTGTGCATGGTTTGCTTTTCTGTTTTTGTTTTTTTCAACTATATGGATTTCACACACTTCCCAGAGTTAGATGATAAATAAACAGAGGGAGAGAGAAATTAAAAGAGGGCAAAGCTGTTTCTTTTGTGAGATTTGATACAAGACAGGGTAGATAAAAATCAATGATTTTTAAAAAAAATCAAAAAAATTGGATTTTTTTTATTTAAATTGGATTTTTTTGATATTCTTTTTGAGGAAAAAACCTATCTAAAGATAGATACATTATAGCTCAAAGATATCTC